TATAAAAAGAAAGTTTGTTTAAACTTGGGTTACATATGATACTAGTCCTAGTCTGGGACGAACCAACTATCGCTCATAACTCGAGTTGAAAAGCTTTGAGTTATGTTCTATAGGAAATATGTGCTTGGACGTTTGTTTTAAAGTTCTTGAATGTATTTTTGAAACCTCGGAACAAACGGCTAAGTTCGCATATGTAGCATCTTTGGTCTGGTTCTGGGTCAACGTTGACCTAATCTGGATCAAGGGTGTTATTACAAGTATAGTTCCAAAACTCCACGTTCTAGTGCATTGTAGATAATATTGTTGCATCGAGACTCTTCGATATGAGACTCCGGTTTCAAAGAGTATTTCTTGATGGGAGAATCGCGTAAGAAGTCAAGGGTTTTTTCCACGAAATCAATGAAGCCACGACCACGTGTTGTCGAGTTTCTTTAGGGGTAAAGTAACATGGACTCATCGAAATCAAGGTTGTCAACTAGAGGCAATACATTCTTCCACCTCTTTGAGTGAACTGATGTGGAAGCAGCAAATTGAGTAGGGAGCAGAGAGAAAATATGTCCTAGAACCTCATCTGGTATTGGTAAGCTGTTGATTGAATCTCCCGAAGAAGTTTCCATTCTTTTGGAAGCCATAGCCATAAAACTGTACCTGAAGACAAGAGTCAATCAAGGGAAGCTCTTTATATATGTACACACAAAGAAGCTCTAGAGAGAGATTCGATATAATTGCTAAGAATTTTTGCAAAGTGAAAATTTTACTGAATTCCCATAGCAACAAGCAAAAATTATGAGTCAAAGTTTCGGAACTCCCACGGTTAATAAAAAAAATCTACTATATAAAAGTAGAATGGTTCTCTCCTACTTCCGGCCATGTCAACACAAGAAAAAAGACACGTGTCTTTTAAAGACTAAAATCCCAAGCGTCATTTTTCTCCTTTTTCCCTACAGTTTCAATTCAATCGAAGCTTTTGTTTCGTTTGATCGGTTACATGCTGATTTTGTTCACCTCTCTTCTGGATCGTCATATTGGATTCTCTGAGAGGGTATGCATTTGTATCAATTCAATCGAAGCTTTTGTGTCTCGGTATTTCTCTATCACAGGGGTTCTTCCTACAATTTCTGGTCACGAGGTTTTGTCTCTTCCTCTACAATTTCGTTGGGTCTCTCGATCAATTGTGTGTGAATACATGAATTTGCTTTGTTACCTCCTCCTCAGGGAAAGACGATGCATATCTCTCCGTCTCCTCCGACAACGGACATATTGATGCGCGCTATTTTACCTTTGCTAAAGACCAAAGATCCAATAGGCGATCGAAACTTTACATTTATAAAGCCTCAAATAATCCACAAGTGCATGAAACACCGAGGAGTACTTAAGGATCGATCCCACGAGGACTAAAGATTGCACACTAGAGATGCGAGAAACAAACTAAGCTATAGCAAATATTTTTTGGTGTTTTTGTCTGGTTTAAAATATAAAAAATGCAAGAAGTAAAACAAGATAAAAGTATTGGACCATGAAGTTAACTATCATAAGAATGCATTAAAAAGCAAACAATGATGCAAAATGTTGAATCAAACACTATCCTAGACAATGAAATATTTATTTTTAGGTTAGTCCACGCCAATGGTAAAAGCCCCTTCCTCTAATCACATTCAAGTTCTGCAGTCAAGCATTCCACGGTCAAGTAGCTATGTGACCC